AACAAATGTGAACTATAAGTCTTTTTAACTAAAAAAAAAGCACAAAGATTTCTCAATTTTTAAAACAAAGTACCATTCAATCTAAACTGCCAACTTTAAATAACATTGTTATGACTACATAATACAAACACTAAAGCTAGATTGACATTTAAGTTATATTAGCATTTTCTCAAGAAAGTAAAATTTACTTTAGGAAACTGCAATTGAAATTATTTTAAATGAAACCTCTAACCCAATGTTTATCCACAAATAAATCCACACTGCAGTACTTAAGTGTTTAAGCTACTGAATGCACAGTAAGTAGACAAACAATACGAAAACAATTAGAGGACAATCATAACAGACAGTCTTGTAAATTCTTATTGTTTCCAGAATAAACTCTTCTGCTATGAAAGGCGTGATGCTGTAAGTAGAAAATTTCACCCTGGTAAATACTATTTGAAAAAAGGTTTAAATACACTTTACCCTATAATAAAGATAAATCTTAATATAATTGGAAAATTACAGTATGAAATAAAAATGAGAACTTCTCATCGATTAAGTGCTGTCATAGCCTTAAAACTCTTAAGACCTGACCATACATAATGTTTTCCCTCATCTTTTGCTACATTAAAAAAGTTTATTCAAGACAAAATATGGAAGTCCGTACTTAATACTTTAAAGGCCATACTATTAATTACACTGACCATTACTAAGAGGAATATTAAAAAGGAATGAGAGATGGCATCTTATAATAAGCCAAGATTTACTTTACTCTTATTGTTTGGGCAAGCTTAACACTTACCATTTGATTCCTCCCTTTAAACTGAACAATAATAAGAAAAAAAAGAAAATATGTAAGAGGGCCTAATTTCAAAGATTCTAAAATGAGACAAACATTAAAAATGTTCAATATTTTTTTCAAAGACAGTTTTCAAAGTAAGTGAATAATTGATAACAATAATTGCCTCAATTTTTTTGTTAACACAAAATAGTCAAGACCTGTAAAAAGCTTCTGTTAATACGTCTTAGTTCGTGATTAGTTTATATTAAACAAACATTATGAAGGTAGGAACCAAAAAAATATGACACTAAAACAATGAAAAGGTTGTAACTATTCATAATTTTTACTATCAAAAGACTCTGAAAATAGGGCCTCCCTGGTGGCGCAGCAGTCGAGCGCTGGGTTGCGAAGCTGCCCGCAGCCTCGGCAATGCCGGTTCGATCCCCGGCTGCTCCTGGTCACTGGAGGAGGGTCCCGCATGGCGCGCAGACCTCTCCTGCCGCCCGCTGCTCCCCTCAGCAGTGTGCTTCGGTCCTTCTGCCTGCTCTGCTCCCCGCTCTGGCTCTGGTGAATTCTCTCACCCTCCCGCGCTTCTGACTGTACCCAGTGCTTGTATAAATAAATAAATAAATCTTTTTTTAAAAAAAAAGACTCTGAAAATAAAGGCTCTATTTCCCCCTAAAAATTGAATTCCATTGTTACAATTTTTTCTTTTTTTTTGGTGGGACCCTCGCCAGTGGCCAGGGAACGAACCAGCGTTGCAGAGGCTACGGGCAGCCTAGCAGCCCAGTGCTCAACCGCTGAGCCACCAGGGGAGGCCCTACAAACTATTTTTTTAAATAAACTATGTTAAGTGTGATTGGTGTGCCTCAGAATTTTATTAGAGTAATTTTGTAGCCTAGCTAACCTAAGTACAAATTAAAAAAAAAAAAAAATCACAAATATTCCAGCAAACATTTTCTGTAAAGGCCCAAGAGTTAAGTATCTTAGGTTTTGTGGTTAACAGTCTCCATCTATTATTGTCTTTTCTTATTCATCAGCCCAATGAAAATACAAACACCGTTAGAGCTCTATATAGATGCTAAGAAAACGGGAGGTGGTCCTGGGCTATCTTTGCAAACCTCTGTTCTAGCCAAATTAACCTTATACTTTAAATACAAAGCTCAAATTTTAAGTAACTAACATGAAAACAAATTATCTTAATGTTAAAATCGTCTAATCATTATTTAAGAGCATAGTACTGATTGATTTTTGGAGTGCCAATAAATCCACTATGTGTATTTTATAAATCCACTTATTCTCGAAGTTCACTGGGATATCTGAATATTTTAGCGACCATTAAAATGAATTATAACCATAGAAATGTTTTTAAATTAAAACAAAAATTTGCAGTATTTTTATTTTAAATAGATTTTAAATAAAAGGTAAAAATTAAACTGTCCATCAACGATAGGGTTCTAAATACCAGTTGAGCCATGTGAAAAACACTGGTAAGTATTTAAAAAATTGTGTAATGATTTAAAGAATAGGGTCTACAAATGAGTTTAAGGTACAGCCAGTAGCAGAAAGCATTTTACTTAATGATTTCCTTTGAATTTCCTAAATGTTTACACATGACACTATTACAAATAGCTACACATTTGCTCAAAGAATGTAAAATTTATGCCAGTAAAACAAGCTAAGTCCACTGATTTTATTATAACCAAGAAATTTTTACTAAAGGAAATGTTCAGACAGAAAAAAGGACTAGGAAAATTTTCCAAATCCTCAGAGAAAATTAAGTGTCCTTAAGAAATTTATCGCGTTTGCTTTAAACACTAATCATCTGTTTTCAAAATATGAAATTCTTTTTTAATTCCATTCTTTTCTAACATCACAAAATATCCTCACATTGATAAATGCAACAGATTTATGTAAAGAACAAACGTAAAAACAAAGATACATAATTGTTTATGTAACAACAAAAATATTGTTACTAAGTGTAACAACCAGAACCCTAAGGCCATACTTTAAAAATATTTCACCAAGTAAGATCTGTATGTGAGAAAAAAGAACTGCAAAATGCACAAATTGCTCAGAAAAATTTACGTAAAAAAAACCTCTTCAACTTATTTGATGCAGTAAACTAAACCTATTAAGACATAAATAATAAAAATAAACAATTTAAATACCTTGTAATGTTCATTCAAAAGCTACTGAATGCCACAATAAAAATGTCCTATTGCTATACCAAATCAGGATTTATTTTACTGTGTATCCTTTAAATAAAAACATTTCAAATTTCTGTAGGGACAGAGGTCAGAAAAAAATGGCACCACTGCTTTTTTACTTCAGAAGTATTATTTTAGCCTAAGAAACTTTTTAAAGAATTGTGGCTTTTCAACAGTTAGAGGGAAAAAATACCAGTAATTATCTTTCAGAATAATAGGTTATTAAACTTTAATAATCTAAGGCATTTAATATAAGGTAAATGAGAACTTGCTGAATCATAAACAAGTCACTGTGAATGTGCATACTTCAGCATATTTAAAATATTGTTGTGCCCCACTATTCACCTCACCAATACAAAAACCTAAGTCAGATCAACTATTTGGAACTAATGCCAGTTCATGAGAATTCTGGGATAAAATATGTTGCGGAAATGTTAAACATCATTTCAAGCACACATTCAGCAAAATCCATGAGGTGAGACACTGTATACAAAAGAATGCATTTTTAAAAAATAAAAAAATTAAAAAGTGAAAGAAAACCAACGGATTAAAAATTCTATATTGGGCATCCCTGGTGTCCTACAAATTAAGTCTCATCGCTACCACATCGATGGCCTGGGTTTGATCCACAGTACTGCTGCTCCCTTAGGAGTATATTTCAGTAAATCCACCCGTGCTGCACCCCATTATCTCAGGTGAATCCTCTAAACCACCCCCACACTTCTGGCCTACACCCCAATTCTTCTATGCCAAAAAATAAAATTAAAACAAAAATGTTTTTTAAATTCTGGATTTAAAATCAAAGAAAAGGGCCTCCTTGGTGGTACAAGGGGTTAAGATGAAACTATGAAGCTGCCCACAGCCACTACAGCAAGAGTTCCATTCCTGGCCAGGGAGGTGACCCACCTGGCCCAGCAGAACTCTCCTGTCTCACCTGCTGCTCCCCTCTGTGGATCTGCCTGTTCTGCTCCCCAGTCTGTCTCTGGTGAATCCTCTCACCACCACCCCACATCTCTAGCCTGCACCCCAGCTCTTGTATGCAGAAGTAAATCTTTAAAAATAAATAAAATCAAAGACAGTCCAAGACAACAATTATAAAAATAATTTTTAAAACACCTTTAATAAGACCTGAGCGAGGGCCTCCCCAGTGGTGCAGCGGTTGAGCACTGGGTTGCGAAACTGCCCGCAGCCTCTGCAGCGCCGGTTCGATCCCTGGTTGCTCCCTGGCCACCACAGGAGGGTCCCGCATGGTGCGCAGACCTTTCCTGCTGCCCGTTGCTCCCCTCAGCAGTGTACTTCGGTCTTCTGCCTGCTCTGCTCCCCGCTTTGGCTCTGGTGAACTCTCTCACCCTACCGCACTTCTGACTGTACCCAGTGCTTGTATAAATAAATAAATCTTTTTTTTTAAAGTGCAAAAATGTTTATTTAAAAAAAAAAAAAAGACCTGAGTGAGTTTGGGCTTAAACTAGTTAATGTTAAAATATTAATAATTTTAATGTATGGCAAAGGTATTTTGGTAAAGTCCTTATATTTTAGAGATGAAAACTGAAATATTTTTTGAAAATCATATGAAGTTAGAGATTGATACAAAATAATAACAGAAAGTTTATTTAAAAAAGCTGTGTGTTCATAATTGTTACACTTTGGTGATGAGCACATAGTAGTGCACTTTTGCATGTTTAGAACCTTCCAAAATAAAGACTTTTCACTATCAGTAAATGGTAAAAATCTGTCAAGAGGAAATGATGGGTTTATCAAGATTTTAATTTGGTAGCATATATTTTAAAAAGAGATAAAGTAAAATAACTAACAAAAACTTAACATTCATTTCTTAAAATATAAGTATTATCTTCAATAACTACATTTAATCACCTGTAAGAGGTAAAGCAGAGTAATAGTTTAACAAACATCACAAATTCAGAAAATTACAAAATTACTTCTGCATAAAGCGAAATCTAAAGAATTATAAATATGTATCTTCTTGCTGACAATATAAAATTATTTTAGTTCACCAGCATTTTACTTACATTTTCCATATAGTTTGGCTTAAAGCCCTCTTGTTGTCTCCTCAGTTCCTCCTGTTCTCTATGTCGGATCATTTCTTCCTCACGACGACGATGCTCTTCCTCATGCCTGAAAGATTTTGTAATAAAAATTTCAATGTGGCTGATAAGTAAGCTATAATCTGTTATTTTATTTCAGGTAAAACAAAATGATTTATACAAGTTACATTATGACAAATATAGAAACAATGATAAGCTTACTAGATTATCTCCACTCTTCTATCGCTTCTATTTTGCTCTAACCTTTTAACAAATAATCAAAAATCAAAGTAAATTAACTAGGGTGATTCAAACAAAGTAACAACATATTATGACTACGGTAGTTATGTGGTTATAGCCAAGAAACTGAGAATCCAAATCTCAATTCCTATTAGTACAGAAAGAAAAGCCTAGGACATATCACTGGTAGAGCAAAGTGGTTAAACACATGCAAAACCATCCCAAGATAAACCAGTCCATAGAACCATGCTGCTTAGACAATTCTACAATGTTGGAAAGAAGTTTTAACAAGCCCTTTGTCTCCCATTTCAGCAAACCAGAGGACATCCCCTGGAGCAGGTGTAATAAGTAGCACTTATTTTTTGTAAATTAAGTCTTAGAGGACAATCACTTATTGTCTGTGGCTACCTTCAGGCTTGAGCAGTGTTGAGTAATTAGGACAGAACTGAAGACGTGCAAGGTTTAGTTACTATTTAGCTCTTTCCCAGGAAAAGTTTACCAAGCTCTGCCCTAGAGGTACATTCAAGGAAATAAAAAAAAAGAAACACGTGCATGTGCACACACACAAAGCAAACATTACCTTTCTATTAAAGGGTTACTATTAAATTAGTAGTTATAGTTCAAGTAAACCTATAAAATAATATTGAAATAATAGAATTGTGTATATTTTGTAATTAGTTCTTCATTAACAAAATTTCATAGATCTGAGGCATCCAGTGAGAGAAAGGGAGGCAGGGGGTGAAGAGGGAGGAGGGGAGGTAGGCAGGGAGGGCACAATGGACTGTGGTGGAGGACAACAGGGGCTTTGGTGGTGGGAGAGCTACAGTGACCTCACCTGAGGGGAGACATCCTAAACTGTCAAAATAGTAACAAAGATATGAAACAATAATTCATAAATAAATTTCATTCAGTTTAGCTGTAAAAAAAAAATTGAAGTAATAGAATCACAATTATATTGGCATTTAAACCAATGCAATTTCAAATATACACGCTCTCCACCCGAAGAAAAAATTTAAATAGTTAAGACTATATAAAGTTGCTGTCCCATCAGTGTCTCATTTTCCAGATTATTCTCTCTTATTTTTCAAGTTTTCCAACAGCTTTATTGAGTTATGTCCATTATCTTGCAACAATCACCACCAACTGGTGAATATATTGATCACCAAGAGTTTCCTCAGGGTCCCTTATGATCTTTCTCCCATCCCTGCCCTTCCCCCAGGCAACCAATGATGGTTTGTATCACTACAGATTTGCATTTATGTTATATAATGAATTACACAATATCTACTCCTTTGTTTATCTAACTTCTTTCATTTAATGAAATTATTTTGAAATTCATCTTTTCCAGGTTACTCTCAAAACATCTTTCTACAGTAAATGCAATGCAGAAATTTCCATGGTTTTTGGTTTGTTGTTGTTGCTGTTGTTTTACATTTTAAAAGACAGGTTTATTAGGGGGGAAAAAGGAAGAAGAGAGACAGCTGCCTAGAAAACAATGGGCAGAGAGAAGCTCTTGCTCCTTTGCAAAGGGAAAATTTATAAAAATATTACAGGCCAGTAGGAGAGATGCATAATACTGGAATTTCAAGATATTTTGTTGTAGTTTATTAGACAACAGTCCCCCTCAACACAATTTCACAAATTACAAGATACATGACTTCTTGTACAGCCAGCAAAAAAAACTGGTTGAGGGCCTCCCTGGTGGCGCAAGGGTTTGGGATGTGGCCTATGAAGCTGTCTGCAGCCACTGTAGCACGAGTTTGAACCTCAGCCAGGAGTAACCCACATGGTAACCCACATGCCTCACCCGCTGCTCCCTTCACCAGTGTATTTCGGTCAATCTGCCTGTTCTGTTCCCCACTCTGTCTCTGGTGAATCCTCTCACCCTCCACACCTCTGGCCTGTATCCCAGTTCTTGTATGCATGAATAAATCTTCAAAAAAAATAACCTGGTTGTAAGGACTTCATGTCAGACCACAGGCAAATAAGACAACATTCCTATGGGGCTGCAACCCAAATCTGGACTATTGTGGGAGTTCTGCGTAAGTCCTCACAATACAACTCTATTTACATTCAAGTAAATTGAATATTCGAGTAAATTAATCCAATTCTTGTACATTAATACACTCAAAAATATTACATTTATGGGCCTCCCTAGTGGCACAAGGGGTTAAGCACCGCACTATGAAGCAATCCACAGCCTCTGCAGCATGAGTTTGATTCGCAGCATGAGTTTGATTCCCGGCCTGAGAGAGAAACCCACCTGGCAAAAGCACACCTCTCGAGACTGTCTCACCCTCTCCTCCCCTCAGCAGTGTTTCAGTTAGTCTATCTGTTCTGCTCCCCACTCTGTCTCTAATGAATCCTCTCGCCCCCCACCATCTCTGGCCTGTACCCCAGCTCTTGTATGCATAAATAAATCTTTAAAAAAATATATATTACATTTAAGAAAAATTTACATTCACATATTGCTGAAAATATACATAGGTACAGATTAAAGTTCATTTTTTTTAAAGATTTATTTATTTATTTATACAAGCACTGGGTACAGCCAGAAGCGCGGGAGGATGAGAGGATTCACCAGAGCCAGAGCGGGGAGCAGAACAGGCAGACTGACGAAGTACACTGCTGAGGGGAGCAGCGGGTACGGCAGGAGAGGTCTGTGCGCCATGTGGGACCCTCGCCAGCGGCCAGGGATCTAACTGGTGCTGCAGAGGCTGTGGGCAGCGTCGCAGCCCAGAGCTCAACTGCTGCACCACCGGGGAGGCCCAAAAGTTCATTTATTTTAAATGCTCTAAGGCCAAATATACCTTTAAAGTGAGTTTTTGTAATTTTAAAAAGGATCACTGCATTATTATTATATCCCAAGTAGGATCTGGGGCGTGACCCCAAATTCAACCACATTAGTATTCCTGCAGTAAGATAAACATTCACATCTGTGGAAATGAAGATTTGGTATGACAACAACATAAGTGAAGATCAAACTTTGCCATACAACAGACTCACATCAGATTCTGATGCTAAATGCTATAAGAAAAAGCTTTAATGATTTTCAGCATTTTTTGGTTTTCAGAAATGTAACAATGACTTGCTTGGGGGTCAACTTAGAGCACGTACTATAATTTTAAATGTGCAAATCTATTTTCAATAAACTAAACAGAAATATCTACACAAGCGGGCCTCCCCTAGTGGCACAGCAGTTGAGCGCTGGGCTGCGAAGCTGCCTGCAGACTCTGCAGCACCAGTTCTATCGCCGGCAAGGGTCCCACATGGCACGACAGACCTCTCCTGTCTCGCCCGCTGCTCCCCTCAGTAGTGTATTTCGTCAGTCTGCCTGTTCTGTTCCCTGCTCTGGCTCTGGTAAATTCTCTCACCCTCCCGCACTTCTGATTGTACCCAGTGCTTGTATAAATAAACAAATAATAAATAAATCTTTAAAAAAAAGAAATATCTACACAAGTGTGCAAGGTATATGTACACACTATGGTATTAGTTGTTGAAGATCTTTTAATCAGCTATAAAGAGGAACAACTGTGGTTCACTGATGCCAATGAACACAATACAGATGTTACAAAAGGTAGATATATGAAAGACTAAGGTACAGCTATCAAAAAAGCAAAAGAATGGTGTTCCCATTACTGCTTTTAAACATCATTTATATAAGCAGAGAAGAAGGTATAAAGTTTATATCACACTGGGAATAATTTAAGGAACAGGAACACTGCCCTTTACATTTTATATATGTGTCATGTGAGTTCATTTTAAACATACTATCACATTTTATCAAGCACTTTACACAAAATCTAAAGTGAACTTCTATGAACTACAAGAGCTATTAAAAGCTTTTTGGTGATAAAATGTGAATGGATTTACAAATCAATAGGGAAAAAGATAGTAAAATGGTAAGATAACTTTAAACTCTTTTCCCCCTTCCATTGCTTTATAAATTCCATACTTTCTACTTTGCTTTAAATTAAGTTCTGATTAAACCAAACCAACAATTCCATACACTAAATTTATGAACAGCATATAGGAATTTATTTAACATCATTTGCAGAACTCTGAAAAAACTGAGATTTGAAGCACTAAGCAACACTATGACTAGTAGATTAAAAAGTCCATCAATTGACAGATGGATAAAGAAAATGTGGTGTACTGATACAATGCAGCTCTGCCAATTACAACAACATAGACCTAGAATATTATGCTTAGTGAAATAAACCAGCAGAGAAAGAAAAACATTGTATGATTTCACTCATTCTGGTATATAGATAAACTAAGTAAAAAAAAGAACTAAAATTTTAACATATATTTTAATCAAAAACAAAATGTCCTGCTGTACTTTGTTCTTATTTCATAACATCTATAGAATAATTTGTCCAATGACAAAAAGAGGGAAAGAATGTGTGAAAGGGTAGGAGTGTGAGTAGGAGAGTAGTGAAAGGAACGTAAAAATAAATGACCAAACAAAACAAATGAACAAGTTACAGCTTGAACCAGTTCATCGCCCCTCATCCTGGTCTTCCTTCTGCACAACTCCAGTCTCTGAAGATTTAAGTAACTCATGAAAAACTAAGTTGGGCCTCCCTGGTGGGGGCAAGGAGTTAAGATGCAGCCTTATGAGGCAATCCGCAGCTACTGCAACAGGAGTTTGATCCCCAGCCAAGGAGCTACCCACACAGCGCAGACCTCTCCTGGCTTGCCCGCTGCTTACCTCAACAGCGTATTTCAGTAGATCTGCCTGTTCTGTTCCCCACTCTGTCTCTGATGAATCCTCTTGCCCCCACACCTCTGGCCTGTATCCTAATTCTTGTATGCATAAATAACTAAATCTTTTTTAAAAAACTAATTTATTTGTAGCACTGAAAGGAAAATCAGAAAGTGTGTGCTCTAAGTAAATGATTAAATTTCTCTCAAAATATAGCTTCCAAAGACAGTTTTTTCTATTTTCCCACTAAAATAAAAACAAACAGGCAGGGCCTCCCTGGTGGCACAAGGGGTTAAGACTCAGCCCTAGGAAGCTCTCAGCAGCCACTTCAGCACGAGTTTGATCCCTGGCCAGGGAGCTATCCACATGGTGCAGCAGACCTCTCCTAGCTTGCCTACTGCTCCCCTCAGCAGTATATTTCAGTAGATCTGCCTGTTCTACTCCCCGCTCTGTCTGTGGTGAATCCTCTCACCCTCCTGAACCTCAGGCCTATACCCCAGTTTTTGTATGCATAAATAAATCTTTTAAAAAAAAAATCTAAAAAAAAAAACAAACAGAAAGGCAAAATCTAAACTATCTGGCTTAAAAGCTTAGATGGTAGCAGACTCTTCAGTTTTACTGCTATAGCTTTATTTGCTTTGTCATGTAAGTAGAGTATAATTGACAATTGTTAGTAAGGTCTTAGACACAACATTCACACACACACACCCCCTTTCTCCATAACATGCTGGAAAACTACTCAATTTTAAGACAAGTTGTTCACATTTTCTGAGTCAAGATTCTTTTTTTTTTTTTAATACAAGAGCTGGGGTACAGGCCAGAGGCGCGGGAGGGTGAGAGGATTCACCAGAGACAGAGCAGGGAGCAAAACAGGCAGACAACTGAAATACTGCTGAGGGGAACAGTGGGCCAGATAGGAGAGGTCTGCTGTGCCGTGTGGGATTCTTGCCAGCCGGCCGAGATCGAACCCCGTGCTGCAGAGGCTGCAGACAGCTTCACGGTGCAGCGCTCAACTGCCTGTGCCACCAGGGAGGCCCTCCCAGTCAAGATTCTTAAAGTTACTTTCAAATGAAACTTCTTAGGCATGAGGCACAGGTTAAGATTGTAAAAATTTTCATCACTGCCTAGTTCCATTAGAATACATTAAGCATATTACCAGTCAAATTACCACCAAATTGTTGAGATAGTTTTACTTAGTCCCTGGGTATTAAATATTAGTGAAAAAACATAATGAAAAATTATCATGCACACAGAATATTTAACAAACAACCAAAATCTGAATACTAGATGTGCTCATTATTACTGAAGCCTTCTTGGTGGTTAGGACTATGCAATATAAATATACATATTAACCCTCACATATATACCTATCTATATTCTCTATCTACCTAAATTAAATACATTGATACCTCCAACCCCAATTCAATGCCTTAGGATTCATTTTAATTTTAGCCTTTCTCTTACAATGATAATATTGGGTCTCCTTACCTACATATACTAATTTAAACTGCTCGCCTAGGGACAGCCCTGGTGGTGTAGGGGGGTAAGTCTCAGCAATATGAAGCTATGGGCAGCCACTGCAGCAAGAGTTTGATCCTCCAGGGAGCTAACTCCCATGGCCCAGCAGACCTCTCCTGTCTTGCTCTGCTGCTCCCCTCAGCAGTGTATTGCAGTCAATCCTCCTGTTCTGCTCCCACTCTCTCTGGTGAATCCTCTCAACCCCCTGCACCTCTGGCATAAACCCCAGCTCTTGTATGCATAAATAAATAAAAAACTGCTCACCTAAAATTAATTTTATACATTATTTTCCATAAAAATCAGCTCAAAGAGGAAAGGAGAAAAGTATATACATAATATCATTGTGAGAAACACAATTACTAACAATTTTACAGAATTTATATATACTTCTTTCTCATTAACTTGTCATTCAGTCAATAAATATACTGTTTTCCAGTAATTTAGATTCCTTCCTTTTTAGAAAAAAGATTTGTTTAGTTATGCATACAAGAGCTGGGGTGCAGGCCAGAGGTAAGGAAGGTGAGAGGATTCACCAGAGACAGAGTGGGGAGCAGAACAGGCAGATCTACTGAAATACACTGCTGAGGGAAGCAGCGGGCAAGGCAGGGGCAGTGTGCTGCACCATGTGGGTCACCTCCCTGGTCAGGGATAGAACTGGTACTGCAGTGGCTGCGTATAGCTTCATAGTGCTGAGACTTAACCCCCTGCACCACCATGGAGACCCTTAAGTTCCTTACTTACTTTCTCATTTCTTTTGGTGTGATGTTATATATATACTTTTTTAAAGATTTGTTTGTTTATGCATGCAAGTGCTGGGGTACAGGCCAGAGATGTGGGAGGTGAGAGGATTCATCAGAGAAAGAGCGGAAAAAGAACAGGCAGACTGAATGAAATACACTGCTGAGGGGAGCAGCGGCCGAGATAGGAGAGGTCTGCTTCACCATGTGGGTTGCTCTCTGGCAGGTCAGGGATCGAACTTGTGGTGCAGAGGCTGCAGACTGCTTCACAGTGAGGTGCTTAACCCCTTGCACCACCAGGTGAGAGTAAAGCGTGGGTGCAATTCTTAAAATCCTGGCTATCAAATAGAAATACAGGAGGAGAAGGCTAGAGCTCAAATAGGGTTTTATGTTAGGACAGAGGAGGTTTTCTTTTCTTTGTAAAATGAGGGGGGCGAAAATAAGATCCCTAATATAGCAATTCATGTGGAGAGTTGTGTACAATGTGATTCTCAAAATATAGGATGCAAAAGAATAACCTGGAAGATTTATTAAAGCACAGGTGACTGGGCCCTACTTCTCCAGTTTCTGATTCAGAGAAGCTCCAGAGGGAGATTTGATAGTTTCTAACAGTTCTCCAGGTTATGTTAATGATGCCTGTCCAAGGACCCTAATTTGAGAATAAGTAGGTTAGTGTAAAATCAGAGTTTAAATCCAAGAAACAAATATATGCAGACACTGATACAAATCAGATATAAAGACAAAGTTGGAAAAAATACACCAAATTTTATGGAATACTATCTATCCCTAGAAATGTGAAGAAATTTTACTTTCTCAGCTTATTTCCCATGAGCACTTTGCTTCTAAGTCTGCTTACCCACAGATTTGTTTATAACGTATCCTAATTAATTTGAGTTTTAAAACTTTCAAAAGTAACTTTATCCCATTATAGTTCACAAATATTGCTTATATATCTTGAACCAACCAATCGCCCAAACTCCCTTACTTAACCTAAAAGATTTTCAGTTGACTAACACAGTGCTATTTATATGTACTGAGAATTTCTGTCCCTATATGCTCCCCTTTTAGTATGGATTGATTCTGTCAGAAATCTTTTTTAAACAAAATATCAGAAGCACAAAGATGCATAGCCATTCACAATTTCTCCATCTCTGAAAAAACTGTCCAGCAAATTATAGTGCATTCTTGTAATTTATGTGCAATAATGCTTACCCCTTCATATCATAAGTTCAGTATATACAATGTGTCCATAACCAGCTGGAAAATCATGAAAAAATTACAACTATGGAGTTATTCCCTACATGTAGACAAAAATGGATAGTTTTGTGGCTTTTTTCCCTGTATTTTCCAACTTCCATAACTTTTTTATAACACAGTGGGGAATTAAAGACACACAATGAAAAGCACATATATTCACGTTACAGTATTTTACCTCAACTGTATTTGCTTCCGTTTTTGCAGCTCTTGGTTTCTGAGTTCTTCTAAGCGTCTGAGTTCTTCCTGACGCCTCATTAGATCTATGAAGTATTAATTACACATTAATATTTTAGCTTCCTTTTTTGTATTTTTAAACCAATAAGCAGATTCTCCATTGCTACACACATAGTTAGTAACTTATACTCATTTACCTAGCTTCTCATTTTGTCTTATTTTATGATGAAAGACTATAAACTGTAATCAAGTTAACATCTTTTGTAGCCTGTTTCTCCATGTCATGAAGAGAATAATAATCATCTTATTTTAAAAATTAACGTGGATAGAAACTGTTTTAACATCAGCTCTGGAATACAGTGAAAACAGAATGGTGCTATATGAACTCATTTTCTTTTCTATTCCTTTAAAACAAATCTGCATTTGTTTCACCAGCAAGCACAAAGCAGAAGGGAGACATCAGCAAAGAAAGGGCACTTAAGAATCAAAATAGACAAATAATAGGAGTAATGAGAGAGCACTGAATTAAAACCCTACGATTGTCCCTCCCAACACAATATGTACAGGATTCCTTCAACACTGTCAATGTACTCTAGAAAGCAGCCAGAATTCTTGAAAAGGGGAAAAAGCTGAATAAATTGAATAATTTCTGCTTACCCCAATAAATAAAGCATTCTACATAAGTTAAACACTCTACTTTGTGTTATTTAAGTGGCTTATAAAAAGGATATTACATAAAACATAAATGAGTCAGTGGAGAGAAAAAAAAAAAAGAGCATGGATGTTAAAAATTTAAGTAACCTACTGTATGAACCTCTGAGGAAACAGAGCTAGACTTAGTACTTAATGGTCTTGTTTAGAAAGTTATTTTAAACAAGAACATTCCTGCCAATCCTTGTAACTGTCATCAAGAACAGGGTTTCCGGAATAGGAGAGATTAAAATAATGAACAGTATATTTGCTTTGCACATTTGAGAAGTCAGTAAAAACTTTCCGGGAGTTGAAAGTCTTTGTATTTTTCCAAATTATGTGAGCATGTAAGAATAGATTTATTTAAAAACACTGGAATATTCTGGGAACTACAATTATTTGCTTTTATTTTTCTTTCACCATATTATCTGAAAGTTCCAAGATGAACAAAAATTATCTCAAATGTTTCTTAATAAACAGCTATGGTTAACATTTTATATCCCAATGATCTTAATAAATCCTAACAAGGCAGACATCATAACCCTAACAAGGTATATTTAACCTTCCCATTTGACATACTGAAAAGAATTATATCTAATTAAATCAAAGAAAAAACAGATAAATTATAAATGGGCTCTAGTCATCCAGCTACTACACAGTTCAAGTGGGATACACAGCCAAATCTCAAAAGTTCTTTCCAAAGTGCCAGTATCCCTAGGAAGTTTCACCTAGGAAACTTAAGGGAAAACAAACAAAAAAAACATATTTTGGAACTCTGCTCAGTAAACTCTGTTTTGGTAAATGGGGCTGAGTTTTCTCAACTGGAATGTTATCCAAATCACCCGGTCCCTACTATACATACCATACTTCTCTTAATTAAAAACAATCAAACATGACTACAGTGATTTCAATCTTTATAACAATAAATTGTAAACCTTTACTACTCAGAATTAAGTATCTTTTCACCACAGACCAATTAAATTAAAATCTCTTGGGATGCAGAGAGAACATCAACATATTTTTTTGAAGCTCCCCTAAAATGAATCCATTGTGCAACCAATATTAATAAAAACACAACTGTCATATAAGTAATGTAGCTAGAGAAACCCAGTAAAGACCAAAAATATATTTTTTCAGAAAGTCATGATGCATTTTTGCTTGAAAAACATAGGAAAAAAGTTATGACTTTTTCAGCAACCTAGTGTTACTTACATTCCTAAGAGAAAATGCTTCTGTAAGACAAATTATGCAAAGTGTCCTTTCACTTATTATTCAAGAAAAATCAATCCAGTGTATCTTAATTTTATCATGGTTTTGTAGGTAAACGGGAATTACCATATATAATAACATGAAGATGTATATTATTTTTTTCCATGAAGAGAACATGAATTTTTATTTCCTGAGAATTGTATTTCCCCCTTTTAACCATTGCCAGTTGAGAAAGCTCTTTAAACCTCACCTATTTCCTCACCTCTAACACTGATATAATCAGTACAAGGGATCTGACAATCACATTATCAGATAAGCAGTAAATGTGCTGTTCGGGAGTGCTACCAAAACTGTCATTGTATGTTCACTAGATTATCTCTTTTTAAATTGCCAAAGTTCCTGAAATTTCACTAAAGCTTATAAATTTATACATTTCTATGGTAGTATCCTTTTGAGGGAAAAATTACCAAATATATATAGAGGTACTGTTATCCTTTGACTCCATAGTATCACACTCGTAGGGATTTTTCTTTCTTTTCTTTTTTTTTTTAAATAATAAATTTTATTTTTGTATTCCCCCATACAATTGCAAACCCCCCATTCTGACCCCAATCCCTCCCCTCCTGCCCTCCACCCCCCAAAAAGTGTCTCTGGTTCATAGTTTTTTGTTGATTTTGATTTTCACTTTCTTATAGTTATTCTCGTAGGGATTTTTCTTAAAAAATAACCCAAAGGTACTATAGCCATGGAGATATTAACTCCATTACCAATTATTAGTAGACCAAGAAACATTTTAAAATGCTTACATATCAAAGTTAATGATAAAAATGAAACTTTATACTACAATTTCAATACACCATTAAAAGGATGGGTTACACAGCAAAAGAGAATAGAGAACAATATAGATAAATTTAAAATTTGACTTGAGAGGCTGTGAGGAAGTGTTTTCTCTATATCCTTCAAGTCTGAAAACAGAATATTCTCTGATCTAACAAGTCTGCTTTATAGATGTACAATGGAATCTACAGAATGAAAGAGTTTATCTAGTCCCAAGGAAAAGCTGAAGTATTATGGTGTACAAGATCAATCTTGGAAACAAGAATGGACAGATGGAAAGATAAAATAAATATCTGAAAATTCTCTCAACTTTATTTATTTTTTTAAATTTATTTATTTGGGGCCTCCCTGGGGGCTGCTGAAGGGGTAAGTCTCAAGTATGAACCTATATGCAGCCACTGCAGCCCGAGTTCAATCCCCAGCCAGGAAGCTGACCTACATGGCGTAGCAGACCTCCCCTGGCTCAACCCTTATCCCCTCAGCAGTGTATTTCAGTCAAACTGTCTGTTCTGCTCCCCACTGTCTCTAGTGAATCCTCTCACTCAGATCTGTACCCCAGTTTTTGTACACATAAATAAATGAATCTTTAAAAAAAATTCAAAGCTAGAAGACAATGAAACATGCTATCAAATACTTAAGAAAGGAAAGGGTGAGCAAACAATAAGATTAATGTCCAACAGAGGGACAAGTCAATAAAACTGCAAATTAAAATATACTAGGAAAAATTTATAAATACACATCATGGTGATTATTTTGCAATGTATACAAAAATTAATATAAGGTTGTGTGTCTAATACACTCCAATTTTAAAACAAGATGGGAGAGGAAGAACATGAAGCTTATACCATTCAACTGACAGTTTAAAGTACAAGGATCACAAATATTTTAGAACACATAAGAATGTAACAAATGTTGGGGGGGCTCCCTGGTGGCCCAAGGGGTTAAGACGCAACCTATGAAGCTCACCACAGCCACTGCAGCACGAGTTCAATCTCCAACCAGGGAGATACCCACATGGCGCAGCAGACCTCTCCTGACTTGCCCGCTGCTCCCCTCAGCAGTGTATTTCGGTCGATCGATGTGTTCTCTTCCCCACTCTGTCTCTAGTGAATCCTCTCAACCCCCACAACTCTGGCCTGTACCCCAGTTCTTTTATGTATAAATAAATATTTTTCAAAAAATTTTAAAAAAAGAATGCAACAAATGTTTCTGTGAACTCTTTAAAGAAATCATGAGGAGGGTATCCCTGATGGCACAAGGGGTTAAGCACCGCACTATGAAGCAATCCACAGCCTCTGCAGCATGAGTTCAATCCCTGGACAGGGAGAAACCCACATGGCGAGGCAGACCTCTCCTGTCTTGCCCGCTGCTCCCCTCAGCAGTGTATTTCAGTCAGTCTGCCTGTTCTGTTCCCCACTCTGTCTCTGGTGGATCCTCTCACCCCCCACATCTCTGGCCTGTACCCCAGTTCTTGTATGCATAAATAAATCTTTAAAAAAAAATAAAGACATCATGAGGCACATCCAATAATCAAATGATGAACAGAAAAGTTATGACAACCTATTTACAATAGGGTTAAGATTTAAGCACATAGGAGGATTTTGGTTAAAGAAATAACAACAGGGTATCAAAGATATTTGCATTTCCATATTCATAATAGCAAAGATATGGAAACAACCTAAGTGTCCATCAATGGAGGGACAGAGATGGTCAAATAATACAATGGAATATTATTCAGTATCATGAAAAGCAGAAAATACTGTTGTTTGTGACACTGGATGGGCCTTGAGGGCATTATGCTCAGTGAAACAGGTCAGAGAAAAACATAAGCTGTATACTATCACTTCTATGTGGAATCTAAAAAAAAAAAAATAACCTCACAAAAAAGGAGTGAAAAAGTGGACATAGAAGAAATAAGCTTAATAAAGGAGCACAAATTTTCTACTGCAAGAATAAGATCTGAGAGGCTAAGCTAATGTACAACATAGTGACAACAGTTGCTAACACTTTCATATAACTGAATTTGCCGAGTACATCTTAAATGATCTTACAAGAAAAAGATGTTTAAACTTAAAAGAAGAAACATTAAGTCAATGTCATCAATCGAGACAAATCAGAAGCAAAATAAATAATTCACTGAGAGGAAAGCAAAGGAGCACGAACTGATACCCTTATTTCCTTGGTTTATTTCTTGGTTAATCAGAACACAAAAGATATCATTTAAAAGAAATATACTTCTATTACTTGATACATACATAATAAAAAAATTAAAAATCCCGTAATGGAATAGGACAGAGTAATAGCAAAATGCAAGGCAGTTAATATTTAATGAGAATTATATACAAGTTACTGTAACAAAGGTAACAAAAACAAACATGAAGAAAATTCAGGAACTCTTTCCTAGACTAATGATCAAAAACAGATGGAGAAGGAAACAACCTATAAATGCAATAGAACTAGTAAGGACTAAACAAATTTAAGCAAAGTATAAATTAAACAACTTTTTAAAAAATCCTTTTGAGTCTAATAAGAATCAGTATTTACAAAAATCTGTGACGATGTATGGCAAAAATATTCACTGCACTCATTAGTGTAGAGGAACTATACTAGTTATACCCATTTAACAGAATAAGGGAGAGGTTTACTGTACAACAGTAAGGTGCAAAAATAAATAGGATTTTCTAAAGTTTTAAATACACACACTCATCTACTGATATAAGCTACAATTTTTTTTTTTGCTTTAAAAGATACAAAAAACTAAAAATACAGAAGAAACTGATTCTTCTAAGAAAACACAAAGTTGGGTCAGGTGAGGACACACTATTTCTATACTATTTGATATTTAACCTACTTTCACACATCCATTAGAGCAACCCCTGTGTTTCTCTGAGCCACAGAACTGAGATTACTAAGTCTTTCCCCCATCTAAACACACCCTTAGAAAATCTGGATGAAATATAGAATTGTAGAAAAGAAATAAAGTTGTAATTCTTTTTTCAATTTTAACAAACTAACGCTTGAACAAATTTACCACCTTTAAATTTTTGCTTAGGAGTAGAAAACACTAAGTGAAGTGGTTTTTTGTTTTTTTTAAAGATTTATCTTATTTATGCATACAAGAACTGGGATGTAGGCCTGAGGTGTGGGGGTGAAGAGGATTTGCCATAGACAGTGGGGAGCAGAACAGGTGGAGCTACTTTAACCCCTGTAACACCAGGGAGGCCCAGCAATGTGTTTTTAATAAGGGTTATAAATAAACACACAAACGTAAAGCTTGTAGTGCAAAATCACTTTGCTTCAAAAATCAAAATGTTCTTGTGGTGAGGCTAAGTTTTTTAAAAGTTCACTTTAAAGAACTACTGACTCTAGCATAAATATAAAGCACGGTTTAGAGGAGGCCATGGTTAGATGTCAGGTCCAGAAAAGAGGTCACTACAGAAACCAAGAGCTGCATCAGTGGTGCCTTAATCAATGAGGCCAGTCAAGAGAAGGTAAACAAACGTCTCTAAAAAACAAAAACAGGGCCTCCCTGGTGGCGCAGCGGTTGAGCACTGGGTTGCGAAGCTGCCCAGAGCCTCTGCAGCGCCGGCTCGATCCCCGGCCATGGGCAAGGGTCCTACATGGCGCGCAGACCTCTCCTGCCGCCCGCTACTCCCCTCAACAGTGTACTTCTTCAGTCTGCCTGCTCTGCTCTCCCCACTGGCTCTGGTGAATTCTCTCACCCTCCCACGCTTCGAACTGTACCTAGTGCTTGTATAAATAAATAAATAAATATTTTTTTAAGAAGTGAAACAAAAAACAAAACAAAACAAAACAAAAAAAAACAACAAGGGCCTCCCTGGTGGTGCAGGGATTAAAGTCTCAGTTCTATCAAGCTACTCCCCATCCCCCACCAGGGACCTAATCCACATGACACAGCAGACCTTTTCTGTCTCATCCTGCCACTACCACAACAGTAGATTTCAGTAGATCCGCCTGTTCTACTCCCCACACTGTCTCTGATGAAGCCTCTCACCTCTAGCACCTTTGGCCTACACCCCAGTTCTTATATGCATAAAAACAAATCTTAAAAAAGGGACCTCTCTGATGGCACAAGGGGTTAAGACGCAACCTATGCAGCTATCCGCAGCCACTGCAGCACAAGTTCAATCCCCGGCCAGGGGAGCTACCCACATGGTGCAGCAGACCTCTCCTGACTCACCCACTGCTCCCCTCAGCAGTGTACTTCAGTCAATCTGCCTGTTCTGTTCCCCACTCTGTCTCTGGTGAATCCTCTCATCCCCACACCTCTGGCCTGTATCCCAGTTCTTGCATGCATAAATAAATCTTTAAAAAAAAAAAAAAAAAAAAAAGAAAGGTAAAACTATCTGCAGATAGTGAGAAAGATGAGTAATAAGAACCATGAAAAATTACCTGGAGAATTAATACAAGAGAAAAAATGATAAAGTATACAGATGGATATAAAAAGAAACCTAGGCTAAGGAAAAGGGCTCAGAAGTGAGCTTTTGAAATACATTTAAGCATCTTGTCATGTGGCTACTTGTTTGACCAGAGAATACAACAGTAAATTAGCACCTGTGATGATGGCTCTTACTAGCCATAATGTGTAATATTTCAACATGTAATAATCATCTTTTATAGCCAGCATTTGTCCTAATTCTTCTTTCCACCAAACAAAATCTGTTATGTGACTTTATGCTGTATCTACCAATACTTCTCCAACGTGCTTTTCTTTATGCCAACAAAATAATGTATTTGCTACTGGTAAAATTTTAACAAACTTAATTACCTCCAACAATACTACTTAGGTAAGGAGAAGTGTGCTTCTAATATACCAAATTCTGTCTCTAAACTCTTAGCTGGCAAGTTAAACAGTATCAATGGAAAATTAAAATGAACCAATGGGGGGGATAAATCTACATGAAAACTCATTTTTACCTTGCCTCATTAGCATTAATTGGTGTTCATGTCTAGCTGCTTCCATTTCTGCCTCCAGTTTCTCTTTGGCTTCTCTGATGTTTCTATCAACCTGCTCACGTTGCTGCTTTTCCATTTCATCAAGAGCCTTCCATCGAGATGCATACTCAAATTCAAATGTCCCAGGCTGAGCAAAACGTGGCGGCTGTTCTCTTTCCCTAAGTTTACATTTTAAAATATACAGGAATGTGTGTTTAAAAAATAGTAACAAGAAGGAAAAAAAACAATAATTATGCTTTAGTGAGTACTTACAATGTTCATGGTACTATGTCAGGCAAGTATGTGAATGATCTCATGACAAAATTATGATGCAAGTTTTAACAAGCCTGAGTTTAAGAAACTGCCCAAGGATGCCCACCTAAGTAATGGAATGGAGTCAAACCTAGACAATCTGATGCTACAACCCACACATCCCTAATTATCACTTAAAAAGGTTCTGATTTTTACTCAACAAATTTATGAAAGACAGCCTGGAATGTATTAATCAAATGTGCCCTAAGTAAATAGTATAGAATCAAGTATTTTCCGCCCTCTAAAATGAACTTTTAGAGAAAGTACTAAAAGCAATTAGAGTTTATCGAATGCTGTGTGCCAGGATAATTGGCTAGACCAAAAAGTAAAGGTCTAACTTACTATAACTGGACCACTTCCTTTACTAGATCATAAACTCAAGGAGGACATGAAATGTTAATTGCTACACCTCAAGTTATCTATTGTATTGGCACATTGTATACATTTATTGTTTGGATTAATGACTACATGATGAACAATGTTTTTTTTAAATAAATGCCTATGAATATACCTGAAATTAAAAGAAATTCAATTATGGTTGCCTATCACAGCTTCTATAAACAGTATTGGTAGGAACACAACCCCTAATTCACCAATAAAAGCAGAGATGCCTTACAATCATAAACTAATTTGAAGTGGGGCAGAAATCAGTGGGTAATACAAAGCTGTGAAATAATGGGGTAGTTTGTCACAAAAGGAAAGCTGTAGTAACAAGTAGCAGCTTCAAATTATATGAGGAAAATCAGTCATGACCTAGTTATTCCATATCTAAAAATCAAGTTTGATTTTTTTTTTTTTTCTTTTTAACGCACTGACTGGGCAAAAGAGGACTCACTAATTTTCCTGAAAAAAATTATCAGTCAGTAGTACCTAAGTCAGACATTGACTGTAATCATGATTTTTTTTAAATTTTAAATTTTCTCCCAGGGGAAACACTATTGAATCAATATGGATTTGGAAATTAGAAAATGAATTTGAATAAAACTGGGAATATAGCCAGATCTTTTTAAGACTTCGTGGGACAGCTAAATCACTACATAAACAAATATTGCCTACAAATTGTACTTCTTTCTTCCCTTGCTTCCAGGACACACTCTGCTGGTTGTTCCACTTACTCTAATGATCGCTCACACTCTCAGTCTTTGCTGATTCCCCTGATTTTCCCAACTTCTTCTATATATTGGAATATCCCAAGGTTCAGTCCCTCAACCTAGTTCTCTTTGACATTAACTCTAGACCAGACAGCTCATCTGAATCCCAGGTGCAAATCCAACTGCTTAATTGACATCTCTACCCAGATGTTCAAAAGTCATCTCAAACTAAACACATGCAGAATAGGGGTCCTGATTTTCCTTCCCCAAATATATTCCTCCTACTGCATTCCCACATCAGTCACTAGGCAATTTCTATACTTCCATACGCTTAGGTCAAAAATCTTGCAATTATCCTTTTCACACTCTGTTCTATATCCTCATATCCATCAGCAAAACCCAGTCTATTTTCAAACTATATCCAGCATCTGTCCACTTCTCATCTCACCACTATGACTACTCCATGTCAGTGGTCCTAACTTATCTTCCCAATAATACCAGTGGCTCTTTACAAACTACTGGAAAAACTACAGCAAGAATGTTCCTTTTAAACTTAAGTCAACATTCAGGTACTTCCTCTCAGCAGCCTACAAGATCCAATAGTTTTCACTTCTCCTAGCAGGTCCTATCTCTATCTCATCCCTACTATTACACTTTCCAACCTTACTCACTATGCTCCAGCTAAACTGGATTTACTGTTGTGAGTACATGCCAGACAAGAGACCTCCTTCAGCGTGCTTTTATTTATACTACTCCTTCCTTTGCTGAGATGACTATTCTCTATTCCACCTCTGATGGCTGCATTTTTCCTCCCCGCTTCTTCGAGATATTAATCACATGTGACCTTCTTAGGTAAGCTCCCCTAACTATCTGTATAAAAGAGCCTCACTCCTCTGCTCCCCAACACCCACTTTTAGCTGTCTTTCACCATAATTGTTTTACTTATTTTAGTTTTTTTACCCTTCCTATCTACATGTGTCATGAATTTCTGGTCAATTTTGTTCATCAATACATCTCTAGGCATACAACAAGCACTCATATTTGTCATTTAAATCAACTACAAAGAAAAATATTCAACTGCACTAAAATCAAAGAATGCTAATTAAAATAACTTGCATAAAATACCATTGTGAACAGACGATCAAATCTTTTTTTTTAAAATGGAAGGGTTTTTTTTTTTTGAAGATTTATTTATTTTTATACAAGAACTAGGGAGGGTGAGGGGATTCACCAGAGACAGAGAGGTGAGCAAAACAGGCAGACGGACCGAAGGCTCTGCTGAGGGAAGCAGCAGGCGAGACAGGAGAGGTCTGCCGTACCATGTGGGAATCTCCCTGGCTGGCTAGGAATCGAACCCGCACCGCAGAGGCTGCGGACAGCTTCACTGAGCTCAACCTGCTGCGCCACCAGAGAGGCCCAACGATCAAATCTTCAAATCCTAACATCCATTATTTGATCAGGATGATTAAAAAAATAAACTTTTATACATGCTGTAAGTATAAACTAGTATATTTCTATAGAGCCATTACTAGTATTAATCAATTTTAATATGCACACCCTTTGATCTAAGCCTTTATACCACACTTGAGTAGGTTTCTTAACAATAGTGTCTCTCACTAATTAATAATGTTTTATAGTCTTTGTCTCATTGTTTAGTTATCTCCACTATTATAAAATTAAGCATCCTGAAAGCAAAGACAGTTTGAAGTTGCACTGCCAGCACCTTGAACAGTGTCTGGACAAAGCTACTCCAATATTTTTAAATATTTTATTTATTATAGTGATTGGTTAAATAAAAAAAAGCAAGGGGTTAAGCACAGCACTATGAAGCTATCCACAGCCTCTGCAGCATGAGGTCAATGCCCAGCCGCTACCCACATGGCACGGCAGACCTCTCCTGTCTCACCCGCTGTTCCCCTCAGCAGTGTATTTCAATCAGTCTGCCTGTTCTGTTCCCTACTCTGTCTCTAAGGTGAATCCTCTCACCCCCCACCTCTGGACTGTACCCCAGTTCTTGTATGCATAAATAAATAAGTCTTAAAAAAAAAAAAAGCATTTGCAACACAGTGAAAAGGCAAGTGAAAAAGCTACTAATAAACAACATCTTGAAAATAGACCACTTTAATAGACCATTTTTTTCTTTTTTCTCTAAGGAGTTCTTATCTTGTGCCAGTTTATTTAACTAGGACTTTCCTTACTCTATTCCCCAAAGCCTCCTCTTAACTTATAATACCCCTAAACATAACTAGACTTTATTGCTTCTCTAACATATTACTGACCTCCTCCTATATGCCCACCTTGCCCCAGGCATAGACTCTCCTAAGCAAAATTGTTTCCCCATGCAAAAAAGGAAACTAGCCGTTTGTGTAGACCAGTCCACTCTCATTAACCAGGACTACACAAAAAGGAACACTTTATAATCCCAGTATTTGATAACATATGAAGTAATACCCTTCACAGAACATAACTGCCTTTAATTAATAAAATCTTACTTATGATATTGTTGAGTTTTCTGCATTAGCTTCTCTGGCAAGCCATCTTCATCATCAAACTGCTCCATAGGCTCCACAATAACTGGACGAGGCGTTCTAGATATGGAAAAAGGTTAGTGAGAATTAGTATAGGTGAATTAACATCCTCCTAGAAGTTTTTTAGGTATTAACTTATAATAAATACACCCCTGCCAAGGTATATATTTGAATAGTTTTATAATTATAACTCCGTGGTATATAATTGCAAATTTTCTCTCCACAAAAATGCCTAAGAAGGTATCATTATTCATAAATTCCATCATTTTTTGCTGTAACAGACACAGGTGAACAAAATCAAAGTCAAGATTTATTTATACATATAAGAACTGGGATGTAGGCCAGAGGTGGTGGGGGTGAGAGGACTCACCAGAGACAGTGTGGGGAGCAGAATAGGCGAGACAGGAGAGGTTTGCTGAGCCATGGGATTAGCTCCCTGACAAGGGATCGAACTCATGCTGCAGTGGGTGGCAATAGACTTCAACGCCTGCACCACCAGAGAGGCCCTGGACACTTATTTAGACAACAGTTTATTTAAGACGATGGAAAAGTAAATCAACTCTGAATTCCATAACCATTGTAGTTAAGTTTTACAAAGTATGCTCAAAAGGAGTATGTAACTTATGTTTTATGTATGTGGGATCATCATCCCATGTCCCACACCTTAACCTCCCATCCCTCACATCCTTGCTTACCTAGCAGCCTTTCTAACTTTAACCCACTTATTTTCTAACAGAGTTTCTAACAAGACTTCTAATCTTGTTCAGAAGTCTTTCTACCACCTAAAATGATACCAACCAGCCAAACAAAAGGAAAGGAGCAGGAGAAGACAACACATTTGAGGAGGAAGTTGGGGGAGAAGGGGTGAGACAAGAAGAGTGGGTGATGAAAGATATGACCTGCCAATCCATATTGCTTGCTTTAATCTTTTCCCTAGTAAAAGAGGAAGTGGAGCTCATTGGGAAAAGACAAAGAAATTAAGTAGAAAATATACTATGTTAAAATTATCCTTGTTTTCAGTCTCTCAACAGGCACAAGATAAAATCTATTTATGTTGCCTTCTGAACACAGATGCTTCAGAGAGAAACAACACACACTATTAACTTTTGAGGTGTTAACAGAAGAGATGAAGAGGCTTCCTAGATTCCAGAAACTTCCCTTTACAACAAATAAATGAACCTCCAGAGATCAACAGACTTTAAATCCTAAATTGCAGAGGAAGGAAAGAAAATATGATCATTTAAAAGTGATTTCCGCAGGGCCTCCCCTGGTGGCGCAGCGGTTGAGCGCTGGGCTGCAAAGCTGCCCACAGCCTCTGCAGTGCCGGTTAGATCCCCGGCCGCTGGCGAGGGTCCCACAAGGTGCGACAGACCTCTCCTGCCGCGCCCTGCTCCCCTCAGCAGTGTATTTTGTCAGTCTGCCTGTTCTGTTCCCTGCTCTGGCTCTGGTGAATTCTCTCACCCTCCCTCGCTTCTGACTGTACCCAGTGCTTGTATAAACAAACAAACACACAAACACACAAACAGCTAAATAAATAGCTAAATAAACAAATGGCTGTAATCCCTGGAGGAAGTGAAACTCACAAAATCATCTTTAAATAAAAATTTTTTTAAAAAAAAGGATTCCTGCAGAAAGAAAACCAAAACAAACCCTTGAAACCTGACTGCAAAAGTGAGGTAACCAAAAAGAGAGGATGGGGCATATGAAAGCAAGAAAGAAGTGGTTGCCCAGTGGGCTATGTTGGAGGATTATTGGTGCTTTGCTAGTGGATATGGTATGTTAAGATACATCTGTAGAGGTGTAAACATACAGTGTTGTAAACTGAAGTTACTTCAATAAAAATTTAATTTTAAAAAAAGTGATTCCTAGGCTACTGGAGACATTTAAGAGGAAAATAGGGGGCTCCCTAGTGGCACAAGGAGTTAAGTCTAAGCACTGTGAAGCTATTAGCAATTCTCAGCCAGGGAGCTAACACACATGGCCCAGCAGACCTCTCCTGTCTTGCTGCTCCCCTCAGCAGTGTATTTTAATCAATCTGCTTGTTCTGCTCCCCACTCTGTCTCTGGTGAATCCTCTCACCCTCTGGCACCTCTGGCCTATACCCCAGCTCTAGTATGCATTAATAAACAAAAGTTTTTTTTTTTTAAAAGAAAAAACAATTAAAAGCAGGTATAGAATATCCTGGAGTAAGAGAGAATAAGAAACCTCATCAGATAAACTGAGAGAGAGCCCAAAAGAAAATGGACTTATAGATTCAATGTCCAGGGTGAGATCTCATATCTATAACAACAGAAGTGTAACAAAGAATGAATAAACACAGACTCTCAAGGGGTACATGCAACCCAGTGAGGTACAAGGAAGCAGCTTGAGTTGTGGTAATTCTAAAAGGAAGAACCAAAGGTGCCCAGGATGAAAAATGAAGGTGATACACTGCATGGTTCACCACTGGAAGCCATGGCAGGACCACAAATCTTAAAATTGTAATAGGGCCAGATAAGAACTGAATCTGAGCAGAGAACAAAGACAGAAACTCAAAATCCCATTCAATATCACAAGTCTACCTAACCAAAGAGAAAAATCAGGAGACCCAGGAAGGAAAATGTACTAAGTAGATAATTTATCACTCAGAAGATGACAGAATTACTTGGAATTAACAAGATTAATTTTATGACATAAAGGAAGATGAACAAAATTAGAGAATATGACGCCTCTGTATACTGTCAAATAATGCCAAGGATTACAACTATAATTTTTCAAGTTTAAACAAATGAATACAGGTCACTAGACTCCTATACGTTGGGGGGGGGGGGGGAAGAGGGATAATTCCCTGGAAACTTAAAAAATGTCACTCAATATATAATGGCACAAAATATTTTAGATTTATATATTTACCATAAGTGTTAACCTTGCCAATTGGTATGCATTTAAGGCTTCCACAACTTCTATAATGATACAGTAATTAAGGTATTTATGACTGACCTTTCCTCACTCATTCAAATAGCTCTTTAGAAAATAAAAATCAGAGGCCTCCCCGGTGGCACAGGGGTTATAAGACACAACCTATGAGGCTGTCTGCAGCCACTGAAGCACAAGTTCAATATCCGGCCAGGGAGCTACCCACATGGCGCAGCAGACCTCTCCTGACTCGCGTGCTGCTCCCCTCAGCAGTGTATTTCGGTCAGTCGGCCTGTTCTGCTCCCCACTCTGTCTCTGGTGAATCCTCTCATCCCCTCACACCTCTGGCCTGTAACCCAGTTCGTCTTTGCATAAATAAATCTTTTAAAAAAAATCACTAGGATCTTATTGTTATCTTTGATTTTAAAAATCCATCAGCCTATCTTTCTGTGTCTGTCTCTTTCTCCTATGGTTGAATTAATTTCCCTGGTAAACACTGTGTTGTCTCAATGAGTTTCTGGAAGAATTAATCAAGTCCTACCTGACTCTGATAAGGACTTTCAGAAGATTACACTTAATTCACCAACCCAAGTGCATTTTTCCTTCATTGTAATAAATCTTAACTGTGGGATTTGAATCCTTCCAGTGAACCCCCAAATACAGGAGTAATCATGGAGCCCCCGTGACAACCAATAAATGCACTAATCAAATAAAACTTCTGCTGACATTCATTTTTATTTCCAATCTTTTTTTTTTTTGGGGGGGGGGGAAGATTTATTTATTGGGCCTCCCTGTTGGTGCAAGGGGTTGAGCACCGTGTTATGAAGCAGTCTGCAGCCTCTGCAGCATGAGTTCGGTCCCTGACCAGCCAGGGAGAAACCCACATGGGTAGGCAGACCTTGCCTGTCTTGCTCGCTGCTCCCCTCAGCAGTGTATTTCAGTCAGTCTGCCTGTTCTGTTCCCCACTCTTTCTCTGGTGGATCCTCTCACCACCAAGGGCCCTCCCCCCCACACACACATAAATATCTCTGGCCTGTGCCCCAGCTCTTGCATGTATAAATATATAAATCTTTTTTAAAAATTTATTTATATATACAAGAACTGGGGTACAGGCCAGAGATTGGGGGGGGCAGGATTCACCAGAGAGAGTGGGGAACAGAACAGGTAGATTGACCGAAATACACTGCTGAGGGGAGCAGCGGGTGAGTCAGGAGAGGTCTGCTGCACCATGTGGGTAGCACCCTGGCCGCGAATCAAACTCATGCTGCAGTGGCTGCGAACCGCTTCATAGGTTGCGTCTTAACCCCTTGCACCACCAGGGAGGCCCTATTTCCAGTCTTTTTTCCCTCATCAATTCTTTAACACAATAGTTGGGTTACAGCATATCTAGTTATTTTTTTAACTTGTTAAATTAATGATTTATAAAAGTCCTCCCCTGGTGGCACAGGCCGTTGAGCACAGCACTGTGAAGCTGTCCACAGCCTGCAGCCCCGGTTCCATCCCGGCCAGGTGACGAGGGTCCCACATGGCGCGCAGATCTCTCCTGTAGCACCCGCTGCTCCCCTCAGCAGTGTATTTCGTCAGTCTACCTATTCTGTTCCCCGCTCTGTCTCTGGTGAATCCTCTCACCCTCCCATGCATCTAGCCTGTCCCCTCGTTCTTGTATAAAATAAATAGTTAAATCTTTTTAAAAAAAAGAAGTTCACATGGCTTTACTTTTATTGGGAGTTTTTACATCTTTCTCAATACAATAATTTTTTTTTTTTAAGTTTTAGTTTGTCTTTAATTACCATTTTAAAAAAAACCTAAGTACCTGTCACTCTTCAAAATTATCAAAGCCACAAACGTTCAGTTTTGAGTTAAAGAAATACAACTTAAGAGTCAGAGGAAACCTGGCTAATGGAAACAATAAATTACTTATTTTCCCCCCAAAAAGAAAAAATTAAAGGGACAAATAATTAGCAAATAAACTAATTCTGCACAAATGAAGGATTTGAGAAACATAAAACAAACAGAAAAAATGTTAATTTAAGGATTTAACAATTAATCTAGCACTTCTGAATCCTTGACTTCCAAATATATTCTGGGTTACCAAAGTTCAATTAGTTTAGATACTATTTATGCTTTTCTCAAGGAAACTGTGGAATAAATTTGCCCCACAAAAA